AATAAGTGTGCAGTTGCAGCAAAAGCACCACCGAAAGAAGAAATCCACCCTTGGCCAACACCTGACAAACCATGGACTCCTGTGCATGTAGATTTTGCCGGACCCGTTAATGGTAACAACTTTCTAGTAGTTGTCGACTCATACAGCAAATGGCCCGAGGTGTTTCTGATGCAAAACACAACAGCTGGAGCCAGTGTTTCGAAATTAAGACAATTATTCAGCCGGTTTGGCTACCCAGAAACCCTGGTGAGTGATAATGGTACACAATTCACTTCAGCATGTTTCTCCAACTTTTGTAAAAATTGTGCAATCAATCACAGCAGAACACCGCCGTTTCACCCACAATCCAACGGTCAAGCAGAACGTTTCGTGGACACTTTTAAGTGCGCCCTCTTGAAATCGGCAGGGGAGGGAACAACACAGGAAATCCTTGAACGATTTTTGTTTTTATATCGGGTCACACCGAACGCCCAAACGCCGAACGGATTTTCTCCGGCCGAGGCCTTGATGAATCGTAAGCTACGAACTCCATTTGATGCCCTTCGGCCCACAATAGAAGTTTCGGCTAAGGAACAGAAATCTACTGTGGGACAACAGTCAACTAAAAATCGAGGGACAAGACAACGTGCGTTCACCCATGGTCAACTAGTCCTCGCACGCGACTATCGTAATGGTCATCCAAATTGGGCAAAAGGAATGGTCACTGGTAGGCGGGGTAAAGTTATTTACGAGGTGCGAGTTGGATCACAATTATGGATTCGTCATGTGAACCAGCTGCGACCAACTAGGTGCATACCCGATGAAGAGAGTCACAGCCTGCCTCTTGACATGCTAATTGACACATTTAACATTCCACGGTCCATAGAAAACTCAGAGGCACCGAAGTCTCCACCAGAGACTACCCAACAAAGGCGCCGGGCAGACCGCGCTCGAAACTACGACACGTTTGCAGGTAAACCTGTGGAAGCGTTCGTCGATTGACATCTTCAAGGAGGGAGATGTTAGGGTTAGAACCAAAACCTAACCCGGATAAGATACAGGGGTTTTGGATAGTCGAAGCCAGATTGTGCCACAGAATTGTGTTCAATCTTGTGCTTGAAACAAGAACACGGAACCAAGCATGTTTCAATTTGTGTGCACCAAATGACTACATGTGAATTACACAGTGTTGGCATGTTTTTCGCCCAAAACCAGAACAGTGTGTTTGTTTTATGCAACAGAACATTGTTATTGTCTTTTTGGCTCACACAACATGAAACGCTTGTGAAAAACACACCTCCTATAAAATTGCACATGTTTCGACTATCACGGACACCCACTTAGTTTGTGCTATTGGCATTTTTGGCCCTTGGGGTTTCGTGTACTAAATACACATACTACTCGAAAGTGTCGCGTGCTCTCTCAATACCTTGGCCTCTCATTCAGGAGTCGGTGTGCACCATCGTGATTAAGTCTATCTGGTGCGACCATATCACTGTCCAAGTAAATATGTAATTTTAATTGAATGTCTGTACAATGGTATGCGGATGAGGGTGTAGCTGAGTTAATGGACCTCGGATGACTTTGCAGTGATCTCTGGTATGAAGCAGAGTTGTGTCTTAGCTCCTGCTCCGTTTATTATTTATCTTCATGATATGATGTCTTGCGCTTGTGAGACGGCTTGTGCTCACGGTGTTCGTGTGGAGTACCGTATTGATGGTGGGTTGCTGAACACCCGTCGTTTCAGTGCGAGAACCCCAGTCTGTGAGACAATTATCCGTATGTTGCTGTTTGCTGACGACTGTGTGCAGTTTGCACACAGTTGCACTCCATGACTAGTGCTCTGGCTTCGGCAGCGGCCGAATTCGGGCTCACCATCAACACAGGCAAAACGGTTTGTCACTTGCAGCCTTCACCGGAGGTGCAATCTTCAATATTGCCGCGAATCAGCATTGTTGATGATGTATTGAAAACCACCTCCCGCTTCTGCTACCTTGGGAGTGGGATGTGGACTGACCAGCAGCTTCACAGTGAGCTTCGTATCCGCGTCTCGAAGGCAGCGGTGACATTTGGGAAGCTAGAGTACCGAGTGTGGAACAAACATCAGCTTACCGTTGCCACGAAGCTGATGGTCTACAAATCCATGGTGCTGTCCGCTCTCCTATATGGCGGCGAAATGTGAACGATGTACCGGCGGGATGTGAGATATCTCGAGCGGTTCCAGCAACAGTGACTACGACGAATTCTGCGCATCAGTCGGTGCGACCGAGTTGCTGACACGGAAGTGTTGAGACAAAGTGGGATGTATGCAATGGACTGCCTTCTTTTGCTGAAGTACCTAAGGTGGCTCGGTCATGTGTGGCTTATGGATTCGATGCCGATACCGAAGCAGCTATTATATGGTTAACTGCGTTTGGGAAGCGGCATGTGGGGAAACTGAAGCGTCGTTATCAGGAGATGATCAAAGTGAGCCTCTCACGTTCTACGCTCGATTGCAGGTCATGGGAATCGAAAGCGGTTGATCGGCGTATATGGCGCGATCTGATCACGAACGCCATTACCGAGGTGCAAGAGGAAGCTCTCGTGCATGCAGAGAAGAAACGGCAATTGCGGAAGCGACAGGCGCCGATGGGTTGTACTCCATCGACATCGAGCGCATGGAGGTGTAGCACATGTGGTCGCGAGTGGCTGCTTCAGGCAGGCCTAGTGAGGCATGAGCGAGGCCACTCGGAACCGATATCGAAACGACGATGTGTCCTGCAGAGAACGTAAGCAAAACCGAGGCAGCGTTTGTAGGTACGCTGCGTTCGATTTATTAACCGCGTGCTTGCATGCTGAGTCTCTTTATTTCAGATGGTGGGTTTGCTATATTGTCCTAATGCTTTTTACCTCATATTAATGTCTACTGGAACTTTCTTCTATAAACTTGCATACGTCCCTTAAACTACTTTAGTTAACTTCGATAACATTTTCGCGTTTGTGGCAATTTCTTACAATATATTTTCCCACGTAGTGAACCTTTCGCGGATATTTTGCAATCAATTTATTTTCGACGCCCATTTAGTGAAGTGTCATGTCACCGTAGCTGTATGCATTATCAGATTTATTTTATTTGATATCGTCGTTACAAGTGGTTGGCTGTTGCTCGATATCCCTGGCGTGGCTGCACTTGATGCTCATGTTGACAAGGCGTCTACCTGTCTGTTACCCACTACCTCGATCATACTGGCTCTAGGAGACAATTGGTCGTTGCTGGAGGGGACGGGGCGCATGGTCTTGTGATCGTGTTAGGATCAAAGAGTGGTTCCATGCACTCAGTGTGGAGCGGACTACGGTCCAGCCACCACCTTGTGTGCGCTTAATTCCCAAATACAGCGTGCACGTGTTTGCCTGATGAAACATGGCTCCCATCCGCATGCCTCGCGGTCGTATTCCTTCGGGTTTACACTGGATGTGCGATGTGTGTATGGAGCTGTGGTTGGTGAGTCAAGCCACCCATAGTCCTTCCGTAGGCGCAGACGTCCTATCGCTGGCCACAGTGACAGGCAACTCCGGAACCGGATGCCGTCAAACATATCAAGCGAACCAGTGACCTGGTCGTGGGTACCCATTACATATGCGTCCGTTTGCGTTTCCATGTTCTTACTCACAATACTAGCCACCGCTTTTCGAACCCAAGGTCTCCATCGGAACATTGGAAATAGGCACTAAGGGATCCGGTTCATGGAACCATTACATCAGCGTATGAACTGTTTTTCCGTCGCTAATCATATCGTCATCGATAACAGCAAAGTGAATATCCTACTGAGTTTCTGCGGCTCACAACCATACCTGTTCCTTCGAGGCTTGGTGACTCCCGATTTGCCATGCACCAAACTATTTGCTGAACTGGTCTACCTGGTTTCCAATCACTATAACCCAAAACCATCAGTTAGTGTGCAGCTATTTAAAGTCAATAGCCAAGTCCAGTATTCAGAAGGAGTCAGTTGTTTCCTTCGTTGCCGAGCTTCGGAAGTTGACAGAATATTGTGATTTCAGTTACAACCGAAACGGTATGAGTCGGGATCGTCTAGTGGTCGGTGTGAAAAACGTTCGCATTCAGCGCTGCCTGTTGGCTGATAACACACTGACATTGGAAAGTGCCTATGATGTTGCGACGGGCAGTCAGGAACTTTACAAAACCGCATGAAGAAATTTCTTTTGCAGTGTCGCATTACGCCACACACTATCACGCATCATCCGCTGTGTGAACTACTGAGCAGACGACGCCAGCGCACTCCTTTGATCTGACTAAACCCAAACTACATCGAACGGTCGGTAAACGCCAGTCTGTGATGAAGCAACGGTACGACATCAAAACGAACGATCATGTGGATGAGGCAGGAGACAGAGGCTATGTTAACCTGAGGCCAAGAAATAGAATTCGCTCCGAGGGATTAAGAGGTCGACAGGAAGTAGTGCAACGGAGAGGCGAATACATTAACGGCACTAGGACCAACTGCCACGACCGTCTGTAAGTCCAAATGAGGAAAGAGAAAACTGTCCATAGCAAGAATCCAAGAGAATAGCACCGGAAGCGTTGTCAAAAGAAAACGAGGCACAGAAACATACAGCCAACGCAATAGCATAAAAGAAATAAGAGCAGAAAATAAAACAAGGGATACACAAAATTCAGTGACGCAGGACGGTCGTGATCAGAAAATATAAGCCAACGTGTGCATAGATATGATGAAAACCAAGGAAGAAATTAAGCGATAGGTCACAAAGCAAACCAGGAAACCGGAATTGCAAAGATATTACAGTTGAGGAAAATGAGCTTGTGTGATCTGCAAGTAAGTATCATCGACACAAACACAACCGCCCAGATAAGAAGGATTACTGCATTATGCACAAATCGCCCCAAGAGAAAACTACACGCACACTAAACGCACACTACACAATCGGTCGATGCAATGCACCAACCACCCAACCGAATTGCGAACATATACCACACACAAACACAATGGCAGAAGTACACTCACCTGTCACCGTCACGCTCCGGTTGAATTCATACAGCGGATCACCATCAGGTGTCTGGAACAAACATTTCACCAACACTTCGCCCGTTGTCGTGTAACGACCCGGCGGATCCGGTGGCACCACCTTCGCCCGACCATCCACAATTTGCACCGAGACGATCTGAACTGAATCCCCATACACTTGCACCGTCCACACACCGTCCAAACGACCCGCTGCATCCGCCGGTACCAAGTCGCACTCCAACTCACGATCATCACCCACGTGCACTGTCTGATTATCCGTGTCGTTTCCATTCAGCGTGCCCGCCATGTGCGCCGCTATACAACGAACACAAACACAAACATTGTCATTAGCACAGTAGCCATCACTGTTGTCATCCGAATGTAACGCTAAGTATCTCAGAGCACGGTGGAACAGACAGAGCAGATCAGGGCACCGTAAAGCACAGGTGGGTAGGTGAATGCGTGCGCGCGCGCGCGCGTGCGTGCGGTCGATGCGCGTGTGAAGCAGATCCCGTTACTACGGAACAGAGTAGAACAGAACGAAAAGAAGTGCGCACATTCCATATTAACATCACCACAGCACACAGACAAAGTAACGGATGCGAATAGACAATGATACATGCTAGCATGCTCGTGAATGTGGACAAACACTACGGCACGTCGGCGAATCATTTATGACATTGGCCAAGACAACAAACCGAAGCAGACATGACACACTCCTTCACGCTACCCCACGTCCACGCACGGTCAACACGCGTGCGCGATCACCAAAGTGCCCAGCACACCTGCACGCATCATCCCCATGGGTATGCACCGACTCACCTTCTACTCCCGTTGATCTGCACCTTCGCACCACGTTAATACACACTGCTCGATCATACGCAGCAGTCCCACTCTCTAGCAAGCATACTCGCCGACACTCGCACGATGGCACACAATGTGAGAGGATCCCACAGCTCTGCCTCCTACGCATGGAAAGTGTGCAAATCCAAACTCCACCACATCTACATACATGCGCTGGATGAGAAACGGTCCTATCGCAGTGGGCCAATACGCCATGGGCACACGTGTGCCTTCTGCGTGCGGAAACCTGTGACACGTTCCCGATGGTACTGTCACAATCCCAGTGGCGCAAATCCACACTGTGTGAAACAATGAACCAGTGCTTGAAGCTGCAAACTACGCGAGCGAGGAGGTGAAATATTTATTGTCATGATACGGATGATGGTGAAATGGTGAATAATAACGGCATCATACACGAATATGACGCAATCGAGGTGAACTCACGTAGGATGCGGACAGTCAAATTCCGCTCCAATCGCCGACCTCGGTCGTCTTCAAACGAGCACAACACCGTTGTCGATCCGTATTCCGTGTACGTCGACTTTCCTTCCGGTGGCTTCACCACCACAGGTCGCACGCTCGAGTCAGTCGAGAGAAGCTGCGTGCGCGAATGCACATCCACCAACGTGAATTCACCCGGACTGGCACTCTCGTCCTCCACGTCACGGTGACAAGCAATCGTCTCTGAGCTACCCACGTGCAGTAATCCATCCGACGGATCGAAGCGCAATCTTCCCAGATCAGGGTCTGCCAACCACAACACGTGCATGCACATTCACGTCCACAATCAGGCAGATATGTAGCGAGACGAATAGCCAGTCATTCAGGTGAAGAGACAGATGGTCAATCAGACATTCAGTCAGTTAGGCAGGAAGTCAAGCAGTCACATATTCAGACAGAAGGACAAACAACCAGACGGACACGTGCACAAACCGGCGAAAATCAACAAACCACGCCACACGCAATCACACAATCGGCCGCACACGCGTGAACACAATCGTCACACATGCACCCAAACACGAAGCGATCCAATCGGAGCACCACACATCGCAGTAGAGGACGACCGAACACCATGAAGCACCAACACAGCATGTAAGAGACACAACGCAGTGCAACATATCAGTGCACAACGTGCAACACCAACGCATGCACACACGTAGAAGAATGGGAGACAGAGAAGTATCGGACGAAGAGGATGCGCAGGCCGAGGTCGAGGCGGAGGCGGACGCGGACGCGGAGGCGGACGAGGAAGCGAGGTCACAGTCAGATGTGAATGCCGATGGAGATGGAGATGGGGATAGGGTATTGGGAAGAGAGGAATGGAGAATGAGATGCAACATTGCCATTACACTTCGTGAGGTCTGTGCACAAGTGCGAAGACAATTCCCAATGTACAGCCTCAACGCTTTTGTCGCAACCATGTAAGCAGTGAGCAAACCACAGTACGCAGCTGATGCAAAACAACCTGAAGGCACATACATGCTGTCAACAGAGTCCACCACCCAGTGCAACACCACCGAGACAGGGGAAAATAACACATAACGATTGCTACTACACACGATTCTCATGATGCCCACTCTACATCCTATAACAAACATGTAGTCGCACCACGCCAATCAATTACACCAGTTCCACACACACAAACCACCTCCCCGTCGATTATGACAAAATTAACAAACAACAGTCACACAACACATTGCTAGCACCAACGACCATCGTCCACCTAGTAACGAAGAACGGCTCACCCAACACTAGTCTAAACACATCCATCCGACAGGGGGCTCTGCACTCGCTTACACAAATTGAATCACATTGCGTCCCACCGGCTACCTAAGCACATCCACCGAGGCGGATACCTCACATTCCCCAACAATTCGAAAACCTACCACACACAATACATTCCGTTAACACTACCACCACCAACACCAACAACACCGCCCAGACACAATGGATTACTGCATTATGCACAAACCTTCTCACCCCCACACACTACACGCACACTACACAATCGGTCGATGCAATGCACCAACCACCCAACCGAATTGCGAACATATACCACACACAAACACAATGGCAGAAGTACACTCACCTGTCACCGTCACGCTCCGGTTGAATTCATACAGCGGATCACCATCAGGTGTCTGGAACAAACATTTCACCAACACTTCGCCCGTTATCGTGTAACGACCCGGCGGATCCGGTGGCATCACCTTCGCCCGACCATCCACAATTTGCACCGAAACGACCTGAACTGAATCTCCATACACTTGCACAGTCCACACACCGTCCAAACGATCCGCTGCATCCGCCGGTACCAAGTCGCACTCCAACTCACGATCATCACCCGTGTACACTGTCTGATTATCCGTGTCGTTTCCATTCAGCGTGCCCACCATGTCCGCCGCTATACAACGAACACAAACACAAACATTGTCACTAGCACAGTAGCCATCACTGTTGTCATCAGAATGTAACCCTACGCATCTCAGAACACGGTGGAACAGACAGAGCAGATCAAGGCACCGTAAAACACGCGTGGGTGAGTGCATGTGTGCGTTCTGCGTGCGTGTGTGCGGCCGGCGCGTGTGAAGCAGATCGCATTACTACGGAACAGAGTAGAAGAGAACGAAAAAAAGTGCGCACATTCCACACTAACATCACCACGGCACACAGACAAAGTAACGGATGAGAATACACAGTGATACATGCTAGCGTACTCGTGAATGTGGACGGAAACTACGGGGCGTCGGCGAATCACTTATGACACGGACCAAGACAACAAACCGAAGCAGACATGACACACTCCTTCACGCTACCCCACGTCCACGCACGGTCAACACGCGTGCGCGATCACCAAAGTGCCCAGCACACCTGCACGCATCATCCCCATGGGTAATCACCGACTCACCCTCTAATCCCGTTGACCTGCACCTTCGCACCACGTTAATACACACTGCTCGATCATACGCAGCAGTCCCACTCTCTAGCAAGCATACTCGCCGACACTCGCACGATGGCACACAATGTGAGAGGATCCCACAGCTCTGCCTCCTACGCATGGAAAGTGTGCAAATCCAAACTCCACCACATCTACATACATGCGCTGGATGAGAAACGGTCCTATCGCAGTGGGCCAATACGCCATGGGCACACGTGTGCCTTCTGCGTGCGGAAACCTGTGACACGTTCCCGATGGTACTGTCACAATCCCAGTGGCGCAAATCCACACTGTGTGAAACAATGAACCAGTGCTTGAAGCTGCAAACTACGCGAGCGAGGAGGTGAAATATTTATTGTCATGATACGGATGATGGTGAAATGGTGAATAATAACGGCATCATACACGAATATGACGCAATCGAGGTGAACTCACGTAGGATGCGGACAGTCAAATTCCGCTCCAATCGCCGACCTCGGTCGTCTTCAAACGAGCACAACACCGTTGTCGATCCGTATTCCGTGTACGTCGACTTTCCTTCCGGTGGCTTCACCACCACAGGTCGCACGCTCGAGTCAGTCGAGAGAAGCTGCGTGCGCGAATGCACATCCACCAACGTGAATTCACCCGGACTGGCACTCTCGTCCTCCACGTCACGGTGACAAGCAATCGTCTCTGAGCTACCCACGTGCAGTAATCCATCCGACGGATCGAAGCGCAATCTTCCCAGATCAGGGTCTGCCAACCACAACACGTGCATGCACATTCACGTCCACAATCAGGCAGATATGTAGCGAGACGAATAGCCAGTCATTCAGGTGAAGAGACAGATGGTCAATCAGACATTCAGTCAGTTAGGCAGGAAGTCAAGCAGTCACATATTCAGACAGAAGGACAAACAAACAGACGGACACGTGCACAAACCGGCGAAAATCAACAAACCACACCACACGCAATCACACAATCGGCCGAACACGCGTGAACACAATCGTCACACATGCACCCAAACACGAAGCGATCCAATCGGAGCACCACACAACGCAGTAGAGGACGACCGAACACCATGAAGCACCAACACAGCATGTAGGAGACACAACGCAGTGCAACATATCAGTGCACAACGTGCAACACCAACGCATGCACACACGTAGAAGAATGGGAGACAGAGAAGTATCGGACGAAGAGGATGCGCAGGCCGAGGTCGAGGCGGAGGCGGAGGCGGACGCGGACGCGGACGCGGAGGCGGACGAGGAAGCGAGGTCACAGTCAGATGTGAATGCCGATGGAGATGGAGATGGGGATAGGGTATTGGGAAGAGAGGAATGGAGAATGAGATGCAACATTGCCATTACACTTCGTGAGGTCTGTGCACAAGTGCGAAGACAATTCCCAATGTACAGCCTCAACGCTTTTGTCGCAACCATGTAAGCAGTGAGCAAACCACAGTACGCAGCTGATGCAAAACAACCTGAAGGCACATACATGCTGTCAACAGAGTCCACCACCCAGTGCAACACCACCGAGACAGGGGAAAATAACACATAACGATTGCTACTACACACCATTCTCATGATGCCCACTCTACATCCTATAACAAACATGTAGTCGCACCACGCCAATCAATTACACCAGTTCCACACACACAAACCACCTCCCCGTCGATTATGACAAAATTAACAAACAATAGTCACACAACACATTGCTAGCACCAACGACCATCGTCCACCTAGTAACGAAGAACGGCTCACCCAACACTAGTCTAAACACATCCATCCGACAGGGGGCTCTGCACTCGCTTACACAAATTGAATCACATTGCGTCCCACCGGCTACCTAAGCACATCCACCGAGGCGGATACCTCACATTCCCCAACAATTCGAAAACCTACCACACACAATACATTCCGTTAACACTACCACCACCAACACCAACAACACCGCCCAGACACAATGGATTACTGCATTATGCACAAACCTTCTCACCCCCACACACTACACGCACACTACACAATCGGTCGATGCAATGCACCAACCACCCAACCGAATTGCGAACATATACCACACACAAACACAATGGCAGAAGTACACTCACCTGTCACCGTCACGCTCCGGTTGAATTCATACAGCGGATCACCATCAGGTGTCTGGAACAAACATTTCACCAACACTTCGCCCGTTATCGTGTAACGACCCGGCGGATCCGGTGGCACCACCTTCGCCCGACCATCCACAATTTGCACCGAGACGATCTGAACTGAATCCCCATACACTTGCACCGTCCACACACCGTCCAAACGACCCGCTGCATCCGCCGGTACCAAGTCGCACTCCAACTCACGATCATCACCCGCGTGCACTGTCTGATTATCCGTGTCGTTTCCATTCAGCGTGCCCACCATGTGCGCCGCTATACAACGAACACAAACACAAACATTGTCACTAGCACAGTAGCCATCACTGTTGTCATCAGAATGTAACGCTACGTATCTCAGAGCACGGTGGAACAGACAGAGCAGATCAGGGCACCGTAAAGCACAGGTGGGTGGGTGAATGCGTGCGCGCGCGCGCGTGCGTGCGGTCGATGCGCGTGTGAAGCAGATCCCGTTACTACGGAACAGAGTAGAACAGAACGAAAAGAAGTGCGCACATTCCATATTAACATCACCACAGCACACAGACAAAGTAACGGATGCGAATAGACAATGATACATGCTAGCATGCTCGTGAATGTGGACAAACACTACGGCACGTCGGCGAATCATTTATGACATTGGCCAAGACAACAAACCGAAGCAGACATGACACACTCCTTCACGCTACCCCACGTCCACGCACGGTCAACACGCGTGGGCGATCACCAAAGTGCCCAGCACACCTGCACGCATGATCCCCATGGGTAATCACCGACTCACCCTCTAATCCCGTTGACCTGCACCTTCGCACCACGTTAATACACACTGCTCGATCATACGCAGCAGTCCCACTCTCTAGCAAGCATACTCGCCGACACTCGCACGATGGCACACAATGTGAGAGGATCCCACAGCTCTGCCTCCTACGCATGGAAAGTGTGCAAATCCAAACTCCACCACATCTACATACATGCGCTGGATGAGAAACGGTCCTATCGCAGTGGGCCAATACGCCATGGGCACACGTGTGCCTTCTGCGTGCGGAAACCTGTGACACGTTCCCGATGGTACTGTCACAATCCCAGTGGCGCAAATCCACACTGTGTGAAACAATGAACCAGTGCTTGAAGCTGCAAACTACGCGAGCGAGGAGGTGAAATATTTATTGTCATGATAAGGATGATGGTGAAATGGTGAATAATAACGGCATCATACACGAATATGACGCAATCGAGGTGAACTCACGTAGGATGCGGACAGTCAAGTTCCGCTCCAATCGCCGACCTCGGTCGTCTTCAAACGAGCACAACACCGTTGTCGATCCGTATTCCGTGTACGTCGACTTTCCTTCCGGTGGCTTCACCACCACAGGTCGCACGCTCGAGTCAGTCGAGAGAAGCTGCGTGCGCGAATGCACATCCACCAACGTGAATGCACCCGGACTGGCACTCTCGTCCTCCACGTCACGGTGACAAGCAATCGTCTCTGAGCTACCCACGTGCAGTAATCCATCCGACGGATCGAAGCGCAATCTTCCCAGATCAGGGTCTGCCAACCACAACACGTGCATGCACATTCACGTCCACAATCAGGCAGATATGTAGCGAGACGAATAGCCAGTCATTCAGGTGAAGAGACAGATGGTCAATCAGACATTCAGTCAGTTAGGCAGGAAGTCAAGCAGTCACATATTCAGACAGAAGGACAAACAAACAGACGGACACGTGCACAAACCGGCGAAAATCAACAAACCACACCACACGCAATCACACAATCGGCCGAACACGCGTGAACACAATCGTCACACATGCACCCAAGCACGAAGCGATCCAATCGGAGCACCACACAACGCAGTAGAGGACGACCGAACACCATGAAGCACCAACACAGCATGTAGGAGACACAACGCAGTGCAACATATCAGTGCACAACGTGCAACACCAACGCATGCACACACGTAGAAGAATGAGAGACAGAGAAGTATCGGACGAAGAGGATGCGCAGGCCGAGGTCGAGGCGGAGGCGGAGGCGGACGCGGACGCGGAGGCGGACGAGGAAGCGAGGTCACAGTCAGATGTGAATGCCGATGGAGATGGAGATGGGGATAGGGTATTGGGAAGAGAGGAATGGAGAATGAGATGCAACATTGCCATTACACTTCGTGAGGTCTGTGCACAAGTGCGAAGACAATTCCCAATGTACAGCCTCAACGCTTTTGTCGCAACCATGTAAGCAGTGAGCAAACCACAGTACGCAGCTGATGCAAAACAACCTGAAAGCACATACATGCTGTCAACAGAGTCCACCACCCAGTGCAACACCACCGAGACAGGGGAAAATAACACATAACGATTGCTACTACACACGATTCTCATGATGCCCACTCTACATCCTATAACAAACATGTAGTTGCACCACGCCAATCAATTACACCAGTTCCACACACACAAACCACCTCCCCGTCGATTATGACAAAATTAACAAACAACAGTCACACAACACATTGCTAGCACCAACGACCATCGTCCACCTAGTAACGAAGAACGGCTCACCCAACACTAGTCTAAACACATCCATCCGACAGGGGGCTCTGCACTCGCTTACACAAATTGAATCACATTGCGTCCCACCGGCTACCTAAGCACATCCACCGAGGCGGATACCTCACATTCCCCAACAATTCGAAAACCTACCACACACAATACATTCCGTTAACACTACCACCACCAACACCAACAACACCGCCCAGACACAATGGATTACTGCATTATGCACAAACCTTCTCACCCCCACACACTACACGCACACTACACAATCGGTCGATGCAATGCACCAACCACCCAACCGAATTGCGAACATATACCACACACAAACACAATGGCAGAAGTACACTCACCTGTCACCGTCACGCTCCGGTTGAATTCATACAGCGGATCACCATCAGGTGTCTGGAACAAACATTTCACCAACACTTCGCCCGTTATCGTGTAACGACCCGGCGGATCCGGTGGCACCACCTTCGCCCGACCATCCACAATTTGCACCGAGACGATCTGAACTGAATCCCCATACACTTGCACCGTCCACACACCGTCCAAACGACCCGCTGCATCCGCCGGTACCAAGTCGCACTCCAACTCACGATCATCACCCGCGTGCACTGTCTGATTATCCGTGTCGTTTCCATTCAGCGTGCCCACCATGTGCGCCGCTATACAACGAACACAAACACAAACATTGTCACTAGCACAGTAGCCATCACTGTTGTCATCAGAATGTAACGCTACGTATCTCAGAGCACGGTGGAACAGACAGAGCAGATCAGGGCACCGTAAAGCACAGGTGGGTGGGTGAATGCGTGCGCGCGCGCGTGCGTGCGGTCGATGCGCGTGTGAAGCAGATCCCGTTACTACGGAACAGAGTAGAACAGAACGAAAAGAAGTGCGCACATTCCATATTAACATCACCACAGCACACAGACAAAGTAACGGATGCGAATAGACAATGATACATGCTAGCATGCTCGTGAATGTGGACAAACACTACGGCACGTCGGCGAATCATTTATGACATTGGCCAAGACAACAAACCGAAGCAGACATGACACACTCCTTCACGCTACCCCACGTCCACGCACGGTCAACACGCGTGGGCGATCACCAAAGTGCCCAGCACACCTGCACGCATGATCCCCATGGGTATGCACCGACTCACCCTCTAATCCCGTTGACCTGCACCTTCGCACCACGTTAATACACACTGCTCGATCATACGCAGCAGTCCCACTCTCTAGCAAGCATACTCGCCGACACTCGCACGATGGCACACAATGTGAGAGGATCCCACAGCTCTGCCTCCTACGCATGGAAAGTGTGCAAATCCAAACTCCACCACATCTACATACATGCGCTGGATGAGAAACGGTCCTATCGCAGTGGGCCAATACGCCATGGGCACACGTGTGCCTTCTGCGTGCGGAAACCTGTGACACGTTCCCGATGGTACTGTCACAATCCCAGTGGCGCAAATCCACACTGTGTGAAACAATGAACCAGTGCTTGAAGCTGCAAACTACGCGAGCGAGGAGGTGAAATATTTATTGTCATGATAAGGATGATGGTGAAATGGTGAATAATAACGGCATCATACACGAATATGACGCAATCGAGGTGAACTCACGTAGGATGCGGACAGTCAAGTTCCGCTCCAATCGCCGACCTCGGTCGTCTTCAAACGAGCACAACACCGTTGTCGATCCGTATTCCGTGTACGTCGACTTTCCTTCCGGTGGCTTCACCACCACAGGTCGCACGCTCGAGTCAGTCGAGAGAAGCTGCGTGCGCGAATGCACATCCACCAACGTGAATGCACCCGGACTGGCACTCTCGTCCTCCACGTCACGGTGACAAGCAATCGTCTCTGAGCTACCCACGTGCAGTAATCCATCCGACGGATCGAAGCGCAATCTTCCCAGATCAGGGTCTGCCAACCACAACACGTGCATGCACATTCACGTCCACAATCAGGCAGATATGTAGCGAGACGAATAGCCAGTCATTCAGGTGAAGAGACAGATGGTCAATCAGACATTCAGTCAGTTAGGCAGGAAGTCAAGCAGTCACATATTCAGACAGAAGGACAAACAAACAGACGGACACGTGCACAAACCGGCGAAAATCAACAAACCACACCACACGCAATCACACAATCGGCCGAACACGCGTGAACACAATCGTCACACATGCACCCAAGCACGAAGCGATCCAATCGGAGCACCACACAACGCAGTAGAGGACGATCGAACACCATGAAGCACCAACACAGCATGTAGGAGACACAACGCAGTGCAACATATCAGTGCACAACGTGCAACACCAACGCATGCACACACGTAGAAGAATGAGAGACAGAGAAGTATCGGACGAAGAGGATGCGCAGGCCGAGGTCGAGGCGGAGGCGGAGGCGGACGCGGACGCGGAGGCGGACGAGGAAGCGAGGTCACAGTCAGATGTGAATGCCGATGGAGATGGAGATGGGGATAGGGTATTGGGAAGAGAGGAATGGAGAATGAGATGCAACATTGCCATTACAATTCATTAGGTCTGTGCACAAGTGCGAAGACAATTCCCAATGTACAGCCTCAACGCTTTTGTCGCAACCATGTAAGCAGTGAGCAAACCACAGTACGCAGCTGATGCAAAACAACCTGAAGGCACATACATGCTGTCAACAGAGTCAACCACCCAGTGCAACACCACCGAGACAGGGGAAAATAACACATAACGATTGCTACTACACACGATTCTCATGATGCCCACTCTACATCCTATAACAAACATGTAGTCGCACCACGCCAATCAATTACACCAGTTCCACACACACAAACCACCTCCCCGTCGATTATGACAAAATTAACAAACAATAGTCACACAACACATTGCTAGCACCAACGACCATCGTCCACCTAGTAACGAAGAACGGCTCACCCAACACTAGTCTAAACACATCCATCCGACAGGGGGCTCTGCACTCGCTTACACAAATTGAATCACATTGCGTCCCACCGGCTACCTAAGCACATCCACCGAGGCGGATACCTCACATTCCCCAACAATTCGAAAACCTACCACACACAATACATTCCGTTAACACTACCACCACCAACACCAACAACACCGCCCAGACACAATGGATTACTGCATTATGCACAAACCTTCTCACCCCCACACACTACACGCACACTACACAATCGGTCGATGCAATGCACCAACCACCCAACCGAATTGCGAACATATACCACACACAAACACAATGGCAGAAGTACACTCACCTGTCACCGTCACGCTCCGGTTGAATTCATACAGCGGATCACCATCAGGTGTCTGGAACAAACATTTCACCAACACTTCGCCCGTTATCGTGTAACGACCCGGCGGATCCGGTGGCATCACCTTCGCCCGACCATCCACAATTTGCACCGAAACGACCTGAACTGAATCTCCATACACTTGCACAGTCCACACACCGTCCAAACGATCCGCTGCATCCGCCGGTACCAAGTCGCACTCCAACTCACGATCATCACCCGTGTACACTGTCTGATTATCCGTGTCGTTTCCATTCAGCGTGCCCACCATGTCCGCCGCTATACAACGAACATAAACACAAACATTGTCACTAGCACAGTAGCCATCACTGTTGTCATCAGAATGTAACCCTACGCATCTCAGAACACGGTGGAACAGACAGAGCAGATCAAGGCACCGTAAAACACGCGTGGGTGAGTGCATGTGTGCGTTCTGCGTGCGTGTGTGCGGCCGGCGCGTGTGAAGCAGATCGCATTACTACGGAACAGAGTAGAAGAGAACGAAAAAAAGTGCGCACATTCCACACTAACATCACCACGGCACACAGACAAAGTAACGGATGAGAATACACAGTGATACATGCTAGCGTACTCGTGAATGTGGACGGAAACTACGGGGCGTCGGCGAATCACTTATGACACGGACCAAGACAACAAACCGAAGCAGACATGACACACTCCTTCACGCTACCCCACGTCCACGCACGGTCAACACGCGTGCGCGATCACCAAAGTGCCCAGCACACCTGCACGCATCATCCCCATGGGTAATCACCGACTCACCCTCTAATCCCGTTGACCTGCACCTTCGCACCACGTTAATACACACTGCTCGATCATACGCAGCAGTCCCACTCTCTAGCAAGCATACTCGCCGACACTCGCACGATGGCACACAATGTGAGAGGATCCCACAGCTCTGCCTCCTACGCATGGAAAGTGTGCAAATCCAAACTCCACCACATCTACATACATGCGCTGGATGAGAAACGGTCCTATCGCAGTGGGCCAATACGCCATGGGCACACGTGTGCCTTCTGCGTGCGGAAACCTGTGACACGTTCCCGATGGTACTGTCACAATCCCAGTGGCGCAAATCCACACTGTGTGAAACAATGAACCAGTGCTTGAAGCTGCAAACTACGCGAGCGAGGAGGTGAAATATTTATTGTCATGATAAGGATGATGGTGAAATGGTGAATAATAACGGCATCATACACGAATATGACGCAATCGAGGTGAACTCACGTAGGATGCGGACAGTCAAATTCCGCTCCAATCGCCGACCTCGGTCGTCTTCAAACGAGCACAACACCGTTGTCGATCCGTATTCCGTGTACGTCGACTTTCCTTCCGGTGGCTTCACCACCACAGGTCGCACGCTCGAGTCAGTCGAGAGAAGCTGCGTGCGCGAATGCACATCCACCAACGTGAATGCACCCGGACTGGCACTCTCGTCCTCCACGTCACGGTGACAAGCAATCGTCTCTGAGCTACCCACGTGCAGTAATCCATCCGACGGATCGAAGCGCAATCTTCCCAGATCAGGGTCTGCCAACCACAACACGTGCATGCACATTCACGTCCACAATCAGGCAGATATGTAGCGAGACGAACAGCCAGATATTCCGGTGGAGAGACAGATGGTCAATCAGACATTCAGTCAGTTAGGCAGGAAGTCAAGCAGTCACATATTCAGACAGAAGGACAAACAAACAGACGGACACGTGCACAAACCGGCGAAAATCAACAAACCACACCACACGCAATCACACAATCGGCCGAACACGCGTGAACACAATCGTCACACATGCACCCAAGCACGAAGCGATCCAATCGGAGCACCACACAACGCAGTAGAGGACGACCGAACACCATGAAGCACCAACACAGCATGTAGGAGACACAACGCAGTGCAACATATCAGTGCACAACGTGCAACACCAACGCATGCACACACGTAGAAGAATGAGAGACAGAGAAGTATCGGACGAAGAGGATGCGCAGGCCGAGGTCGAGGCGGAGGCGGAGGCGGACGCGGACGCGGAGGCGGACGAGGAAGCGAGGTCACAGTCAGATGTGAATGCCGATGGAGATGGAGATGGGGATAGGGTATTGGGAAGAGAGGAATGGAGAATGAGATGCAACATTGCCATTACACTTCGTGAGGTCTGTGCACAAGTGCGAAGACAATTCCCAATGTACAGCCTCAACGCTTTTGTCGCAACCATGTAAGCAGTGAGCAAACCACAGTACGCAGCTGATGCAAAACAACTTGAAAGCACATACATGCTGTCAACAGAGTCAACCACCCAGTGCAACACCACCGAGACAGGGGAAAATAACACATAACGATTGCTACTACACACGATTCTCATCATGCCCACTCTACATCCTATAACAAACATGTAGTTGCACCACGCCAATCAATTACACCAGTTCCACACACATAAACCACCTCCCCGTCGATTATGACAAAATTAACAAACAATAGTCACACAACACATTGCTAGCACCAACGACCATCGTCCACCTAGTAACGAAGAACAGCTCACCCAACACTAGTCTAAACACATCCATCCGACAGGGGGCTCTGCACTCGCTTACACAAATTGAATCACATTGCGTCCCACCGGCTACCTAAGCACATCCACCGAGGCGGATACCTCACATTCCCCAACAATTCGCAAACCTACCACACACAATACATTCCGTTAACACTACCACCAACACCAACAACACCGCCCAGACACAATGGATTACTGCATTATGCACAAACCTTCTCACC